GGGCGAGGCAGATCAGTCGCCGGCTTCTGGATGGCTGCTCACCGCGGCTGCTGGCTGCTCATGATGGCTGCCGGCTATACATGGTAGCTTATGGCAGCCCACTGCAGCCTAGCCGTTGCCGGCGACCCACGGCAGCCCAGCCCCAGGTCGAGCTGCCATCCACCATCCCAGCTGCAGAGGGCAGTGTCACCGGCCCTCACATGTGGGATCCGAACCGGGGCCCTCTGGCATTCCAAGCTAGCTCTTAACCAACGCGCCACTCAGCCGGCCCAGGTAGCCAGTATTAATAGATCATTATTTGGGTAACATTTGGATTGGTGGAAGATCAGTTTGCAGATTAGAGAGGCCAGTTGGTGGTGGATGTTGGATAGTAGAGTCTAAGTTTTATTCTGTAGGCAGGAGTGAGCATTTGAGGGAATTCTGAGGTGGGTGTTGATATAAACAAAGGGTTGTGTTTCTGGAAGATAACTGCCAGCAGTGTGAAAAATGGATTGAAAAGGCAAAGAGTTGGAGGTGTAAAGCAGGAAATTCAGATAGCAGACTGTGTACTGCGGTAGTTCAGTGAGAGACAATGAGAATCAAGGCAGTGCTGGTGACAGACACCAGAAAGAACAGTCAGCACTGCCTAATGACTGGATATGGGGGAAGGAGGAACTAGCCAGACTGTGACTAAGAAAATGACAATAAAGCTCATAAATGGAGAAGTCTAGAGCAGTTTTTAGGGAACTACAATCTCAGTTTGAGGCCTGTAGCTGTTTAAACCTGCATTGTGTAATTGAATGAAGTCCAAGGAGAGATGGGCTGTAAGATTTGTGGAAAATTGAAAGACTGTCTGGTATTAGAGAAATGGGGAGAAGTTGGTCAAACTTCCAGTTAGAAGATGAGTAAGTTTTGGGGATCTAATGCACAGAATTTTATTGTAGATAATAGTACTGTGCTATGTACTTGAAAGTTGCTAAGAGAGTAGACCTTCAATGCTGTCACCACACACCCCCAAATGGTAATTATGTGAGGCGATGGAGGTGTTAACTAACACCACAGTGGTAATTATAATATATTGCAATATGTGTATCATATTAAGACACTGTAAACTTTAAAGTTACACGGTGTTATATGTCATTTATATCTCAATAAAGTTGGGGGAAAGAAATGGAAGGACTGATTCAATAGATGAAACTTTGACGATGAATATGGTCTCAAGAAGAGTGTAGAGCAAGCAGAGCAAAAGAAAGAGAATTGAGTCTTGGGATATATCCATATTTAGGGTGGTAGAGAAATGAATATAAGGTCAAATAATTTTCATTCGTATTTAGAGGAAATACCTTTTTTGTTCTGTAATATTAGTTGATGTACTTGTAGTTTCCCTTGACTCCTCCCCAAACATACTTGTGACCATATCACTTTTCATGGATGCTTCTAATCTCTGTCCACAAAACTGGTTACTTTTTTATCATTTATTTTTAAGATGTTTGCACTGACTGTCTAGACATCCTCATTCTCAGGCACCACTATCCAGTAGAAATATAATGCAAGCCATATATGTAACTTAAAATTTTTAAAAAGTAAAAAGAAACAGGTGAAATTCATTTTTTTTGTTGTTTTTGTCTTTTTTTAATTGGGGAATTGGGCGAGGGGAACAGCGTTGGGCAATTGGGGAAGAGGAACAGACAAGTTGCTGTCGTTTTGTTCTTCAATCTAGTTGTGGAGGACGTCGCTTCACTGGCCCATGTTGGTATTATCATTGTGCTTTTCCCAGAAGAGGCAGTCGCTCGACGGCTATTGGACGCTCACGGCAGCGCATGCAAGTGCATGCCCGGTGCCGGCTAGCCCCACTGCAGCCTACGCAATCGCTGGTGACTCACGGCAGCCCAGCTCCAGGTCGAGCTGTTGTTCACCATCTTAGCTGTAGAGGGCGCAGCATCACTGGCCCTCATGTGGGATC